CAAATTTTTTTATCTGAACCTGGGAGAGAAATTTCAAAGATTCGTTCGACAAATCACGGTAATTTATGTGCAAACTTATATAAGTTTGCATATTTATGTGTGAAATTTCGTTGAAATCGATTGACAGCCGCTCGAAGGAAGGAAAAATTACCTGTTCTTGGTTGAAACAATGCGATAAATAATGCGATTTTCACGATCTTTAAAGCACTTTAAAATGTGGACGAATATTTTTTACCAGAAATTGTAATACCTTTGTATTACTCGCTGTATGCATTTTCTTTCTATCGCCATACTCCGTATCTTCTACTTTTATACTCTACAACAGGGGTGTCAAACTGAAAAGCTAACTTGAGTCAAATAAACAATGCTTAACTTTAAGTGGGCCGCAAAAAAAAATCGATGTTCATAGGAACAAATATTTTTATTTTGACTAGTACATTGTAATAAACATATATAAAGTTAAATTATTGTTTACGTCCTGATACTTGACATCAAAAATGTTCATCTCGGGCCGCGAGTTTGACAACTCTGCTCTACAGGGTGTCCGAAAAGCCACTCGCGATCGGGAAACGAGGTCGTTCGAGGTAACTTTTTCCTTGGCGCAGATGCAATCCGCGGCTTTGTTTACGCGTTATCAACGAAAAACAGTGATCAACGAGGGGAGAGATCAGCTGGCGCGTGGCGGCCGAGCCATCAGCGGAACCGGGCCTCGTCAGTGTAAAGGTCATTGTGTAGTAGATCGTTCGATTCGTTTTTGTTCGTCGGTTACAACGTTGTAAAGTGAAAGATACATAGTGCCATTTAAAAAGAAAGGAAGTCAAGGTGACCCGAGCTTTTAATCGAGTAAAAAAAGTTTTCGAAATTTTTATTATCGCACTTTGTACTTCTCGAGGTATAGTAATGTCTCTCTAATCGACCCTCAGATTGTGCAGGAAAATGGACAATTTGGGAAGAGGAGATACGATTAGTTTGAGTCTTGCGCCTTGTTTTTATAATTACCGATTCTCAACAACTATAAAGACGAGCCGCAAGGCTCGAATAATCGTATCTCCTCTCTCTAAATTGTCCATTTATGTGGACAATCTGAGCGTCAGTTAGGGAGACATTACTGTAGACAATTTGGGAAGAGAAGATACGATTATTCGAGCCTTGCAACTCGTTTTTATAGTTACCGATTTTCAACAATTATAAAATCGAGCCGCAAGGCTCGAATAATCGTATCTTCTCTCCCTAAATTGTCCATTTATGTGGACAATCTGTGCGTCAGTTAGGGAGACATTACTGTAGACAATTTGGGAAGAGAAGATATGATTATTCGAGTCTTGCAACTCGTTTTCATAGTTACCGATTTTCAACAATTATAAAATCGAGCCGCAAGGCTCGAATAATCGTATCTCCTCTCCCTAAATTGTCCATTCATGTGGACAATCTGTGCGTCAGTTAGGGAGACATTACTGTAGACAATTTGGGAAGAGAAGATATGATTATGCGAGCCTTGCAACTCGTTTTCATATTTACCGATTCTTTTATTTTTTAGCTTGCTTTTTTATAGTCGTTGCTAATTTGTAACTATAAAAACGAGCCGCAAGGCTCGAATAATCGTATCTCCTCTTCCCAAATTATTCATTTTAGTGGGCAATCCGAGCGTCGGTAAGGGAGACAGACATTACTGTAGTATGTTGACGCGCAAGAGTGAGCAGCCGTTGCTGGAACGGGACGTTTCGGGAAAAAGGAAGTCGTTTCATGGACGGTGGTTTCGGGTGGATCTGTCGGCGTTTTTTTCTCCCATTTTAATGACAGCGACGCAACCGGCGCGATCCGCGAGACGCTACTCGGGGAAAGTTTCCAGCCGACTTCGTGCCGTCCACGACCGCGTCCGCGGAAACTTGAAAAACTCCGGAGGTTCCCGGCGGTGAAACGAGCCGATCGATGTTCCCCGCCGGTCCTTTTGTTCCGCGAGGACTTTACCGGCAGGGAAACTCGTTAAAACTGGCTCGCGGAACGACGAAACGTACGACGAAACACACGCACGCAAGTACATAGTTATTTCTCCCGGAAATGCCGAACCTCGGATTGCTGCGAATTTCCCTGAACTAGTCCTACGGCCGTGTAATTTATTGCTACGTCGATCCCGGAAGACCAAAATGTTCTGTTTGGGTGTGAGTCAGATAAGAAAAATCGCGGAGCTACGAGGTACAGTAATTTCTCCCTGATTGACGCTCAGCTTTTACACGAAAATGGACAATTTTGGAAGAGGAGATACGATTGTTCGAGTCTCGCGCCCCGAACCTTCGAATTGTGGTATTTGGTCTCCGAATTGCCTTCGAATCGTGTCACGTGGCCTCCGAATTGTCTTCCAACCTTCGAATTGTGGTATTTGGCCTCCGAACTGCCTTCGAATCGTGGCATGTAGCCTCCGAATTGCCTTCGAACCTTTGAATCGTGTCACGTGACTTCCGAATTGCCTTCGAATCGTGGCATATGTCCTCCAAATTGCCTTCGAACCTGCAAATCGTGGCATTCGTCCTCCGAATTGCCTTCGAATCGTGTCACATAGCCCCCGAATTGCTTTCGAAGCGTGTCACATGGCCTCCGAATTAGCCTCGAATCATGGCAAAAAGTTAGAAATAGAAAAGTTAAATCACCGTTTTAATCATCTCATATTAATTTAACACCAGCATGTTGGCTGCTATCTTTCTTTGCAAACGGCCTCGGCTTTCTATAAAAACGAGCCGCGAGGCCGGAAGAATCGCGACTTAGTATTCTCAGATCTACTTTCTCAGACTAATTACTGTGCTTGCACGCTCGGCGCGCGAATGTCCCCGGCCTCGCGTTCATCGATAGAACCGCCGCGGCCTAATAAATATTCATAAATCCGCGTGCACGGTGCACGCGGCGTTTATTTTTATCGATCTCGTCAAACATCGTCCGCGCGAAGTCGCTTGCATTCTGTCACGGCGATAACTTGCTGCGAATGATTCTATTGCAGGATCTCGGCCGGTGCTTCGTAAATGGTGTCATTTTACGACCGTTGTTACGCTGTCACGGTGCACAACAACTTGCTAACGAAGCGAACGATATTCTCGCGCGTGCAGCAACTTTTCTGCATCGGCTAGAAGCGGCCGACGGAATAAAATCGCCCGCGTTCGGAGTTCCTTTTCGGTTTCGGGCGTCGCGAAGATTCGTAGATTCGAGTCGCTCTCGCAGACGCGCCAGACTTTTTTCGGAAATTCTATGCTGCCGCATTTCCACGGCGGGTCTTAACGAGATGCTGAATAATTTGCACGGCGACGAGAACCGTGTAACCACCGGGCATCCTGGCACGAAACTTGGCGTGGTTCTTTCCGCGGGAATGCGACGATTTAAAATTCAAATGCGCCACCGCGCCGCGTCGCGGCGCAGTGTTTCCGTGAATGAACTTGTTGCAGCCTCGATTATTATTTCAAGATATTTTCCTCGAAACGCGCTCTCTCTCTCTCTCTCGCGCTCTGTATCTCACGCGCTCTCTCTCGCTCTCTCTCTCTTTCGCACTCTTTCTCTCTCGCGCTCTGTCTCTCGCGCTCTCCCTCTCGCGCTCTCCCTCTCCCTCTCTCCCTCTCGCACTCTGTCTCTCGCGCTCTGTCACTCGCGCTCTGTCTCTCTCTCTCGCTCTCTCTCTCTTTCGCACTCTTTCTCTCTCGCTCTCTCTCTCTCTTTCGCACTCTTTCTCTCTTCCGCACTCTTTCTCTCTCGCTCTCTCTCTCTCTTTCGCACTCTTTCTCTCTTCCGCACTCTTTCTCTCTCGCTCTCTCTCTCTCTCTTTCGCACTCTTTCTCTCTTCCGCACTCTTTCTCTCTCGCGCTCTCCCTCTCGCGCTCTTCCTCTCCCTCTCTCTCTCTCTCTTTCTCTTCCTCTGAAATATCTCGAATATTTTGTCGCAGGACCTGTGTCAAATTCGCTGACACCTTGTAACAAGTACCTTTGTGATACTAGTCAACTGCAGAACCCGTTCTGTAACTTTTATATCTTCCAACTGATTTTCCTGTTTAAATGCTCTCTATTTAAATGATCTTTTCTTTCAGATTTTTCTTTTAGATTTTCTTGCGTTCCGTTTACATCGCGAACGATTTCTACAAATGAGACGAAGACTGCACCGATCGAATATTGTTCGACATTCTTAACCCCTTGCCGTATCATTGTCATCGCAGATGCAACGATTACAACTTCTTCGATTCTGCTAATTTCTTGAAAGAAAAAGAAAATGTATTCTTACTTGAACGCTTAAATGTTGATGGCAAAAGAACAGAATTAGTTTAACTAATTTAATGAACGATGAATATTCGTACCCGGCAGGTTATTGCTGGCCTGCGGAAATAAAAATTGTCTGGGTTAATTGCGGGAAACGTAAGTTAGATGAAAATGTCTTTCCCTATTTAATAATAATTGTAATAAGTTGAAAAAGTAATGTAATTATATTATACTATATTATAATCATATATTAATTAATTATAATATATTATAATTACAATTAATATATAATATGTATAATTATAATTATATATTAATTAATTATAATAATATATATAATTATAATATATATTGTAATTACAATTATAGATTAATTCATTACAATATATTATAATTATAATGATATGTTAATTAATTATAATGTATTTTATAATATATATTAATTATATATTAATTAATTATAATATAATTATATTATATTACATTATATATCCTTAAACACTTATTTTCTATTTGATCTATGAATTCTTGTCATAAATACGTAAAATCCGCAGTGTCTAGTTATTACTGAAAATCGGACTCATCAAAATACGACAAAGGGTTGAACTTTCGTTGAAACGTCAGTGCCGAAACGTCTTCGTAGCATCGAGTTTCGAAGAGCGTTTTAAATGACTCGTAATCGTTTCCACGGTCTCGTTCGGCGGGAGAATAAACGGCCGAGGAAAATGTTCCCGTCCCAGTAAATTGTCATCCTTATTGTGTTCGCAATACAGGTGACCTGTTCGTGGTGGTGTTCAGTCTGGACTGCCGGGAGTCCTTCGAAGAGGCCATCAGGCTGCGCGAATCGATCCTGGAGTCTAAAGTGAGCGCGACCCAGAGCGCCACGAAGAGCCGAAGCAAGAGTCACTTCCATTTGAAGGTTCCAATGGTCATCGTCGGGAACAAGTGCGACAAGGACGTGAGGTACGAGCCATTTGTTCCGTCCGCGCGCGCGATAACTACAATTTGAATACCAATTACCTGTTCCTTCGTTAAATATTCATACGGTTAATGAAGACGCGCGGAACACACGTTGACGCGCGGAACTGCGAGTCGTTTGAAGCGGAATTTACGATTCTCCCGGTGAAGCGTTTCACGGTATTCGCGGTTCGAACACGCTTGCTTTGCGGATTTTACGCGGTCGCGTTAAATTTGACATAGAAATTCCGGAACGGCGGAATTTTCGTTTCGGCCGGAGGAAACGCGAGATTCTACAGGGTGTCCCGAAAATGTCTCGCAATCTGGAAATGGTGGGTTCCTCGGGTCATTTGAAGCAGCTTCTTCCTTTACAAAAATTTTCTCCGAGGCACCGTTAACGAGTTATTAATGAAAAACAGTGACCAATAAGAATCGAGTACGGCTGACGCGAGGCGGCCCAGCCAACCAGCGCACGAAGTCCAGTTCCACTCGTTGGCTCGGACACCTCGCGCCAGCCGAGCTCGCCTCTCATTGGTCACTGTTTTTCGTTAATAACTCGTTAACGGTGCCTCGGAGAAAATTTTTGTAAAGGAAGAGGTTGCTTCAAATGACCTGAGGAATCCGCCACTTTCGGATTGCGAGACATTTTTGGGACACTCTGTATAAACACGCAGACTTATCTCTTGACTGTTTAGGGTATCAGTCGTTCCAGAGCTCTTTTAGAGTACGTTTCGTTGATGACAAAGTTCCTTATAACATTTTTTCTGCGCCGTTCGCCGGAATCAATATTTTGCAAATATTGGCCTTAAGACAAAAATTATCGCAGTTCGATTGAGACGTTCTACCTCATCCTCTGTACTCCCCAGACATTGTTCCATCCGATTGTTACTTGTTCTTCTCGTGAAAAAATTCTCCCCGTGAAAAACGGCTTAAATTCTTAAGCGAAATAAAAACGCACCTTGTTCAATATTTTGCAAATATTGATCTTAAGACAAAAATTATTGCAGTTCGATTGGAACGTTCTACCTCATCCTCCGTACTTCCCAGACATTGTTCCATCCGATTGTTACTTGTTCTTCTCGTGAAAAAATTCTCCCCGTGAAAAACGACTTAAATTCGTAAGCGAAATAAAAACGCACCTTGTTCAATATTTTACAAATATTGGTCTTAAGACAAAAATTATTGCAGTTCGATTGGGACATTCTACCTCATCCTCCGTACTTCCCAGACATTGTTCCATCCGATTGTTACTTGTTCTTCTCGTGAAAAAATTCTCTCCGTGAAAAACGGCTTAAATTCTTAAGCGAAATAAAAACGCACTTTGATTAATATTTTTGCAAATAAGCCTCGAAGACAGGATAACGAGGCCTCCTGAAAGATGGAAGAAGGTAATAGAACAGAACGGTTCATATATAACTCGATAAATCAATCTTAAACAACAAATATCGTGTAATCATTTCGCATGAGAAAAAAAGGAAAGAACTTACGGGACACCCTAATAAAAATTGCACGCTCTCGTGCGCCGATCGCGGCGCGGCGAATTAACAGCGGGAAGCCTCCTCCTCTTTGGAGGAGGCGGAATCTAGTTAAACGTCAGCTCCGTTCCTCTGTCCGAGAAAATTCTCGGCGTTCCACGGTCAAAAGATTCGCGTAACCGACGTTCATTTTCCTGTCCAACGATCCGGCCGGGCCGGCTTTCGCGATTCATAATGGGTCAAAGCGAACGCTTCGCGCGTTAATAACAGAGAAAATGTCCGGCCGACGTTTCGCGAATTGACAAAAGGGAGGTCGAATTACGAGGGCGCGGCGGCCCATGTTTCTCCGCAGAACGGTGACCGTCGAGGAAGCCGAGGAGTACTGCAACAGCCAGGACGACTGCTGCATCTTCGTCGAGGTCTCCGCGAAGAGAAACTTCCACGTCGAGGAGCTGTTCTACCAGCTCTTCGTGGTCGCCGGACTGCCGCTGGAAATGGCGCCCAATCATCACAGAAAGGTCCCGCTCACCTTCGGTTCTCCCACGATGCTGCCGCCCTCGCAGGTCTGTTTTCCTCCCTTTTACCACGGCGATCGGTTTATTTAACGAGTCAACAAAACGGAACGGCGGCTCGGTTTTTGCACCGTAAACCTCCGAACGATCGATCGTTTGTTCGTAGGTTTTAGGTTCACAGAAATTGAGCGTCGCCGCATCAAGTTAAATTAGGATGAGGGTAGAAATTATTTGAGACCAGCTGTGATGATGCTTTTCGAACGTGACGTCTATTTTTGTGTGGTTAATTATGCAACGGAATGATATTCGATTATTTTCTCTTTTTTTTTTATAAAGTTTCGTTGCATCTTCGCGAGGCAGTTTCTTGAATGACAATAAACTCAGGGAATCTGTGGTTTTAATGGATCCCTTTGACTTTGGAAAAACCCCTTTGGTTTTAATGATCTTGAAAATTGTTGTCAATCACGTCATTCCGAAGAACTTTCTTCCAGATAAAATTATTATCTCGAAAAAATTATAGAATTGACTGGATAAAAATTGGCGAACTTCGACTCACTATAACTCCGCGAAAAATCGTCGTAGAATAATGATTCTTCTTTCAGATTAAAGCTCGAAATCTTTACTTTAAGATGAAATATCTCGATTTTAAGTTTAGCATATCCTTGTCACACTGTAACCACTTACGTGTGAGGCCATGTTTGCCATATTGAAAATTGACAAGTTTGAGGGGAAACGCATCATTTTTTAAATTTTTCTCGGCATCGTCGTTTACAGCCGAATGAACTACGATCCTTTCTCTTTAATTTAAAAAAAATTAAACGCGGCTACGATATTTTTTCGCAATGTTATAGCACTTTAAAGTAACCATTCAAAGTAAATGTAACTTTAAAGTAACATGGCTTCGTATTTAGAAGGTCACGGTGATAGGGATGTGTGAAACTTAAAATCGAGGAATATTATCTTAAAGTGCAGATTTCGAACTTTAATTGAAAAAAAAGATCAGAATCTTACGATGATTTTTCGCGGAGTTATAATCGGTAAAAGTTGATCAACTTTTATCCAACATTTGTCTATAGTACAATTTTGTCAAAGAATGCAATATGTTCTTAATTATGTAATAAATACCTGAAATAATAGATTACTGAACTTTCGAGCCCTTATTTTAACGATATCTGCAAGTGTACAAGCAGTTGTCGCCGAAGAGAGTAGTAATTGGTAGAAAAGAAGCTGCCGCACAGTCGGTTAGGGCTAAATAACTTCGCGATAAAATTTTTTCTCGATCGTAAATAGGGTGTCCCAAAATTATTGTACAAGCGAGAAATGAGGGATTCCTGAGGTCATTTCAAGAAACTTTTTCCTTTACGGAAATGTTCTCCGACGCATCGTTTAAGAGTTATTAACGAAAAACGCTGACCAATGAGAGGCGAGCTCGTCGGCTGTCGCGAAGCGGCCGAACCATCGAGCGGTCGAAGCCCAGTCCCGCTAATTGGTTTGACCGCCTCGCGCCAGCCGACAAGCTCGCCTCTCATTGGTCACTGTCTTTCCTTAATAACTCATAAACGATGCTTCGGAGAATATTTTCGTAAAGGAAAAAGTTACTTCAAATGACCTCAGGCATCCTTCGTATCCCTCATTTTCATAATTCTAGGACACCCAGTAATTTCGGCCGCGGCGACTCGACTCGTCGAGCCGCACGCTTCGTTTTCCCAGGGTCTGAAAGTGGGACGTATTTGTTTTTCAGCCGCGGCACAAAGCCACCCTGAGCATAAAGCGTCGCCTGAGCGACGCCTGCGGCGTCGTGGCGCCGAACGTTCGCCGGCCGAGCATCAGAACGGACCTGATGATCATGAGGACGAAAACGTGTTCGCTCGCGGCCGGCCATGAGAATAACGCGCCCGGCTCTAGGATAACGCTCCGGACATCGGACACCAGGAAGACGTGCTCCATTCAGTGATACATCCCCGACTGCTTCGCGCGTCACGAAACGAAACGACGGGCCCGGGCCCGTGGACGATCTTCGCGAGCGACTCAGCACTAATTACTCTAACGCACAAGAATTGTTGAAACTTTTGGGAAAGCGGGACGACAGACCCGCGTCGTTCGCCGTGCTCGCGAAACTTGCGAAATACGACTTGCGAGGCACAGTCGACTCGCGGGAAGTTCTGCGCGCGAAACGCAAACGCGAAACGTTTCACGAAACGAGGAACGCGAAAGGGCGAGGCCCTCCGTGGACGAACATAGGAAAATTCGTTCGGACGACTGTGAATCGTTGCCGAGATTTCGAGCTCTCGTTCTCTGAAACCACGCCGGGCACCCTTCCGGTTGCGGAGAACGCCGGGAGGGGTGGATCGTGTAGCATGCTCCGTCGCCTTGGGTCGCGAGTGCGGGTTCCTCTCGCGAGTTCTACTCTCTTTCTCTTCCAGGTGCATCTTGAATTGCTCGATTCGGTTCTCGAAGTTTCTCTTGCCAGAAATTCGCTGTGCCGTGCAGGCGAATGATTATTATACTGCGGATTTTATACATTTATGACGAAAATGTATAGGTCAAATATTATACAGGGTGTCCCAAAAATGTCTCGCAATCCGAAAGTGACGGGTTCCTTGGATCATTTGAAGCAACTTCTTTCTTTACAAAAATTTTCTCCGAGGTACCGTTAACGAGTTATTAACGAAAAACAGTGGCCAATAAGAATCGAATACGGCTGACGCGAGGCGGCCCAGCCAACCAGCGCACGAAGCCCAGTTCCGCTCATTGGCTCGGTCGCCTCGCGCCAGCTGAGCTCGCCTCTCATTGGTCACTGTTTTTCGTTGATAACTCGTTAACGGTGCCTCAGAGAAAATTTTTGTAAAGGAAAAAGTTGCTTCAAGTGACCTGAGGAACCCGCCACTTTCGGATTGCGAGACATTTTTGGGACACCTTGTAAAAACTGTAAGGTCATCGAAGAAGAATTTGGGGATATTGTTACATTGTTTTTAAACTTGCTGTGATTATTAAAGGAAAATTTCAACGTATGTTTCTTACAATTAATTTGCGCAATTTTTATTTTGCACGAAGATCCGCGGTCTAATGATCGGAACATGTTTCCCTGAATTCACTTGCGGAATTAACTCAGCGCGGACCGCCGGAAGTGCTTCTGCTGTTGCTGATTAAATTACTGACTCGTGAAATGAGAAACTCGTCCGCGAACGATTTTTTGCAGAATCGGCGACGACGCTGCTTTCGCGCATCGGCGATCTTCGACAATCCAATGTTCCTTGATACTAAATTTACGGATCCCGTCAAAATGGCGGGTCACTAATTTTTTAATTTATCATTCGCTTCGTAAAGATACATTTATGAGTTATTTATTCTATTTATACGTCGCTTACGGTAAATAAGCTTACAATAACGCTTGTTAAAAATCAGAATAAATGTCCTATAGTTACTTATATAAACTAATATAAAACAGCTGTTTTTTATGCTCCGTAAATCTAGTGTTAAATAAATTGCACGAACGGAATGTTTACTTATTTATTTATTTATATATACAAGTAAACCCCCATTTTTTACAACAAAGAACAAAAAGCTGATATTAATGCAGAATCAGCAGCTCGGCGGTTCGAGAAAAATCGTTCTGATGTTTGCGATATTGGCTACGAATACGTTTGTTTTATCGCCATTATCACTAACAATTTGAAGTCCCGTAGATTTTGTCCTGTAAAAAGGGTCGATCGCGCTAAATCTCGACCGAGTAGAACGAGGTTCCAGAATCGCATAAAAATCGCAATGAATTGCAACCGTTCGATTTTTACTAAATTTTTACTAAATCGTCTCGGCTCTGTCCAGCGATCCAGAAAATCTTCGATACATTCGGAAGAGGAAGAGACCTTATCGAACCATAAGCGACAGGACTTCCGCCGGACAAGCGACGGGCGATCGGGATTAGCGACGTAAGAGAGAGGATCGAAATCGCGGAAACGAGGGAAAATTTTGTAACGTTGAACGGGTGACACGGAGAACGGCGAGAACGGAGGGACTAAATTCGTTTCCCGAAACGAAAAGAAAGAAAGAAACGTCCGTTGTTCGTCGTTGCTCGCGTGGCGTCGCGAGCGAAGATCGTCGCAAAGAGAAAGGAAACGTTCCAACCGACCACGCTGCTCGCCTTAATTAATTAAAATGGAATAGCTCTAGCCATAGCGTCCTAGGGGTAACGTGTACTATTTAAAAAGTAAGATGTAATCGAGGATCGGGATGTTGGATTTAATTGATCGACGACGACGACGACGACGACGATTTCCGTCGGTGAACGCGACGGTTTCCCGGCGCTCCTCGCGAACTTTCGCCGTCGCGGAACTTTCGGCCGTTCGTAATCGCGGACAGTGCTGCTTTTCGCGCATAGTTTTTCATCGGGGGATGAGCCCGAAGTCGGGGGGGAGGGCGGTTTAACGGCCGGCAAACGGCGGGAAACGTCGCGATCGACGGAGACGTGCGATTCTTCCTCGCCGAGAAGCAACTGTCCGTTTAATTGCTTTCGCAACATCGTAAATTCTCTCTGATTCGCGCACAGATTGCGCTAAGAATGGACAATTTGGGGAGGGAAAATGCGATTTAGTTTCGCGGCTCGTTTTTACAGTTGCCGATTGTTGACAATTATAGAAACGAGACGCAAGCCTCGAATAATCGTATCTCCACGTCTCAAATTGTCCGTTTTTGTGTACAGTAATTTCTCCGTAATTCGTTCAACTCCCTAATTCTCCTTAATTTCACAAAAATGGACAATTTGGGAAGAAGAGATACAATTATTTTATAGTTCCCGATTGTCGACAATTATAAAAACGAGCCACAAAGTTCGAATAATCATAATCTCCTCATCTGAAATTCTCCGTTTTTGTGTACAGTAATGTCTCCCTAATTCGCCGAATTCCCTAATTCTCTCTAATTCCACAAAAATGGACAATTTGGGAAGAAGAGATACGATTATTTTATAGTTGCCGATTGTCGACAATTATAAAAACGTACCGCAAAGCTCGACTAATCGTAATTTCCTCATCTGAAATTCCCCGTTTTTGTGTACAGTAATGTCTCCCTAATTCGCCGAATTCCCTAATTCTCCCTACTTCCACAAAACTGAACAATTTGGGAAGAAGAGACACAATTATTTTATAGTTACCGATTATCGACAATTATAAAAACGTGCCGCAATGCTCGAATAATCGTATCTCCTCGTCCCAAATTGTCCATTTTCGTGCGCGATCCGAACGCGAATTAGGGAGAAATTCGAAAAATTAGAGAGAATTCACTGTATATTCGAAGGGATTAACACCGAACCTACCAACCAATCAGCAATTTTTATTACCAAAACCGGCTCCAACAACCGTAACTTATTCAAGCATTTTCCAGTCCTCGAAAGTTCGCGAAATTGCAAAATAAGGAAACAGTCGTTCCATGGTAGATTCCGTGTTAATTCACCGCTGATCTCGCGCACTCGACGCGAAGCGAAAAATAACGAACAAATCGACGGGGACGTTGGACTACGTTCGTTCGAAACATTCTGTTTGTACATTGTGTCTGCGTTCTCTCGCGAAGGAGATCGTTGCTCGAGGCGAAATCCGCGACGAAAATAACGAGTAAGTAAGGTTAAATTAAATCGAATCGACGGGGAACCGAGATTGTCCGAGATACAATAAAATGCGAACGAATATCCGTGTAACGAAAACAAAACAAAAAAACAAAAAAAATTCGCGGAAAAAACGACGTCCACACGTTCGAACGAACGAACGAACCGTCGCGATCGTTCTTTTCGAACGACGCGACGAGAATCGTGCGGCCGGTTTCTTTCGCGCAGAGAAACGAATGTTGTTCGCCCGTGAAAAACGGGCGGGTGTAAGGACAAGATGATAAAGCTGTAACATTGTACCATTCTTTGCTGTGGCTTCGTGAATAAATTTGTATCGAACAGAAAGAAGAAAAGGGAAAACGTGTGGGGCGACCTCGGAGAGAACAAGGAGAGACCATTAATCGACGCGCGCGGACGGGAGACGCGCTCTCCGTAGAAAAACGTCGCGTCCGCCGTTCGTCGAGAGGATATTTTGTTAGCCGGTCCGTTCGTCGGTTCCTAAAGGCGATCGAAACGATTGCCGTCGCGATTCCCGAGGGATCGCGTCGACCGGCGACGGTCCGCGAGGCATGGCCGGCCGTGCGCGACCGTCGGGTCCCGTTCGGGCTTTATTTCGAAACCGATGCGAACCGAGCAGCACCCCCGTATACGTGTATATAGTTAATTGATTCGTCGTATCGCGTCGAGACCGATACGTGCTTCGATCGGTAAGCTTCAGCCCTCTCCCTCTCCCTCTCCCCCCGCCGCCGCCGCGCGAATATCGTTGGAACTTGGAAGCCGCCGGAAAGCTGCAACGGGAATCTTCCGAGCGCATCGGTTCTAATTAATTTCCGATGAGGCGAATTCCCCGCTCGACGGTTATCGCCGAATTTTCGGAGAGTTTCCGACGCGACCAGCCGAGCATCCGTGAAATCGCGTCGAGCTTTCTCGAGCTTCCAACTGTTCGACCGTGTTCGATCGAGGCCTCCTGGGTGGCCGGGATCATCTCGAATCGTCCCGCCGCGTTGTCAGACGATCGACGAAGAGGAACGACGGAAGATGCGCGCGATTACGATCACATTGTAATGCGGCGCTCGAGAACAGGCAATGAAGACGCGCGGAATAAGCGGCATTCCGCGCGCGCCACCCACGCCCCCTGATTTTCGGACCAATCACGTTCCGTTTTCTTGTAATAAATGCGTAAACGATCCCGTGTGTTTTCTTTCCTCATCGTGTTTCCACGCAATCGTCGTGGCTCCGACGACCACGGAAGTATTTTCAAACCGTTCGAGGATCGGGAAGTGCTTTCGAGAAGCTGCCTGATCGCCGCCGCGTTTTCTTCTTCTGGAGAAGATCCATCCACTTGTTGGTTCGACGCGGGCTTAGGCGAACTCTTGATGCACTTGTTCGTTCGCAGGACGAACGGTGATGCGGCCCTCTTTTCGTACTTCCCGAGATAAAAAACGTATGGTCGCTGGACCGCGGATCCTCGCGCAAAATATAAATGATTCCCGTTAATTGCGAAGAAAAGAAATTAGAAATTTAAAATAGAAATTTAAAATAGAAATTTCTTTCTTCCGTTAATGATCTCAGCGAGTTAATCGTTCCGGCGACTCCAAATGGCGACTCCGAGGCGTCATTAAAAATTATGAAAAATAAGAACGTTTCGAAATAATTTTATTAATCAGATTTGTTTATATTTGAGGAACCATTAGAATTTATAACTATTGCACCAGTCACAAGATTCAATTTAATACGTATAAAGTGCATTAGGTTATACAGGGTGCCCAAAAATGTCTCGTAATACGGAAATGAGGGGTAGCTGAGGTCATTTGAACTTTTTCCATAGCGAAAATTAAAAAAAAGAGAAAACTATATTAAATATTGCGTTTATTTAGCTTCGACTTCAACGGGTTAAATATGATATATATAGACGTCCTTAAATTCCTTTAATAGTTTCATTGTTTGAAATTTCACCTGCCCCTTTTTATTATAA